TTGCTCATGCAGATCAGCTATGTGCTGATGGTTCTCATATGAACAAGAGGATGTCTGACACAAGGACGGTGAGGTGCAACAGTGAGGGTCGTTGCGTAGCATGTAGTCGCTACCCAACTGGGAGCACAACAATGACTCCCCCGTCTTCGGAAACCTTTTGTCAGAGGAATGTTCCATCGCTCAGCACATCAATCCGATCAGTGAACTCAAAACGAAAATTGTCATTTACAAACATATGATGTCGCATTTGGGACCGGGAGAATGTGCAATATATGCGGGGTTCTTTTATTCGCAAAGTGATATGTTTCACACACATAAGTACGTCTCTCTCTCTCTCTCTCTCTCTCTCTCTCTCTCTATATATATATATATATATATATATATATATATATATATATATATATATATATATATATATCATTTGGTTGTATAAAACAAAAAAAAACAAAATCAATCAATCAATCAATTAATTAATTAATCAATCAATCAGTCAAACATTCAATCAATCAATCAATCAATAAATAAATAAATCAATCAATCTATCCAATTAACCACTCACCCAACCACCCAACCACCAAACCAACCAACCCACCTAACCAACCAACCCACCTAACCACCTAAGCACCCAACCACCCACATAACCAGTCACCCACCAAACCGCCCACCCACCCACCAACCCGCCGTCCCACCACCAAACCACCCACCCACCCACCACCAAACCAATCAACCAATCCACAAACGCACTCACCCAAACATAATACCCAAAATGTACGACCCTCCCAACCACCCAGCCAACCACCACAGCCACCCAACTATCCACCACCCAATAACCGTCATCCCACCACCCGACCGACCACTCAACAACCCCATGTTTTGGAGCCCGGCCATCCAACCGCCCAACCAACCAACCGTCCCTCCTAACCCCCCATCCACCCAACCACCCACCTAACCCCACAACCAACCACCCACCCACCCAACCACGCAACAACCAAACCACCCAACCACTCACCCAACCACCCAACCAACCAACCAACCAACCAACCAACCCATTAAACCACCAAACCGCCCACCTAACCACCCAACCAACCAAGCAACCAGCCACACAACCACCCATCCATCCGCTCAACCACTCATCCATCCGCTCAACCACCCAACCAACCACCTAACCCAACCGCCCAACCACCCAACCACCCGACCACAAACGAACCCCATGTCTTTGACTCATTGTGTCCGTCGGTTATCGTACGCATTGTGTTACCGTCATCTTTCGCAGTGTCATCGACCAGAAATTGAGACTGTTCGTAATTGCCAGGTTCACTTATTCAACCTTGCGACACAACATGGCCGACGTTGTTGTTGTTGTGAAAGAGGTTGTGGATGGAAAGAAAATCGTCGTGAGGGAGTCAGTGTGTGAGCGCGATTCCGAAAACGAAAGAGACTTTGAATACTGGGAAGGGGTTGTCGCCACAAAAACACGTGTGTACTACGCGTTCATCGATGACACCCTCGCTTTGAGGGTCATGGCGGGGCTGGGGTACGACGACCATGATTACCTTGATGAGGTTGTAATGCACGCAAAAAAGCTTTCGGATGTCGTTCCTGACGCCTGCGAACCCCCCGACTTCGATATGATTGGTCATTTGCTAAGGTGCATCGTGTCAGTCGTTGCGGTCGAGCGTGTGGAAAGGTTAGCAACCAACGCATGGTATTTCTCCAAACTCGACAGGCCGCTGCAACGCCATACTTTTCTCCAAGGAGATGTGCGCACTGTCTTGCCAATTGACGGTTGCCAACAACAGTACCAAAGTGTCAACGAACCATCATCCCGATCGTCTCATGCTTAGTCTGAAACAGGTGGGTTGACTCACAAAATCGTAAAGGTTTTTAACATTCGACAGTGTTCGAAACCGCGACTACCTGCTCATCCCATATATATATATTTAAAGTGTGTTTCCCCTCCCCATGCGTAACATGCAGAATATCACGTTTGCGTTATTCGTTGCTCGATCGTTAGGTTCATAACTTACGGAGTCGGTTTCTGTGAATTGCAGCACTTTCTGAACGCCATACGAAAGAAGCGACGATGCATTGCGCGCCAATGATTGTCCGATGTTACCACACCACAAAACTGACAGGCGGCGACACCGTATACTATTACGAATCAATGACTCCCGTAACAGATCCTGTCGGCGATGCAGCGGGATGTCGCAATGGATACAAGAAGGTGGATCGTCATTTCGTTGTCAGCGTGGAGGAAGAACGAGTCGTTAGAATCACTACAGAAACTTATATTCGCGACCACACCATCGAACACGTTCGTGTCCTAATGTCTAAGCCAACCACGTACTTCAGTACCTTTGTTCTCAAACCGGTCGACGATGATTTCATGTATGATATCGTATCCCCCCTTGTGCATCTTATACTATACACACACTACGGGACGGTTGCTCGGGACGGCGTCAGGCGCCTGGTCGTGTCACCGCCCTATTTTATCTCCAATGGTGACGATTTCTCTGCCATGTTTTATCCTTGCAGTGCGACCCAACGATGAGTACCATTCGTTACATTTTTTTCTATGTTTCTTCGTTGTTAGAGAGAGAGAAAATGATGGTTTCAGTGATTGTACATTTTGTTTATACATATGCAAGTCCTATCTCCCATGTGTTTCTTATATGTTTTCAGTTTTTTTTTTTTTTTCCTGCTTTGCGTTCTGAAATTTATTTTCGTTTTCGTTATGTGGAGGTACAGTAGGTACAGTACTAAGGTAATCGGTGCCCGTAATGTTCTGTTTTGTAGATTTCAAAAAATTCACACATAAGCGACAACACAATATTCACCCTTTCCCATACATGGATCGTCGACGATGCAGGGCTGGCGTGCGGGCCGACGCAATAGTATTTGGAAATGGGACAGATACTGATCCTTTACGCGACGAGGAGCTGACAGTCGCCGAGATTAGGAGCCGGTGGCCGAGACCCGCAACACTTTTGGAGGAGGCTGTGACTTTTGCCGGCCTGGAGGAGCATCTGCAAAAGTGCATGGATCTGCTTATTGGTCGTGCAAATCTCGAACCCAAGCAAAATCGTTACAATGGATATGTCGCATTTTCTCGGTTGTGCGAGTTCGTCGTTTTCCGACAGAGATTGCAAGATGAGTTCGAAACCGCAATGCGGGGACGATGGCCAGATACAATTATTCGAGGTTTTGAACTACGACAATGTGATCCTCCTGAAAACGCGCGCCCACGTCGACGTGCACAGCGGTAAATGCTTCACGAGAGATAAAGAGATAGATAGATAGATAGATAGATAGATAGATAGATAGATAGAGAGAGAGAGAGAGAGAGAGAGAGAGAAAGAAAGAGAGAGAGAGAGAGAGAGAGAGAGAGAGAGAGAGA